GGGCTCCCACCTGCTTTGGCGTAGGCCAGTGCCACCTCTGCCAGCCGCTGGCAGCTGAGCTCGTTCTGGATGGTGCCATCCTCTCGCAGGATACCTGGAGACAAACCCGGGGTCACACCAGGGCAGGGGCAGCAGGTGCCTCAGTCCCCAGGGGGAGTGTGGCTCTGGGGACAAGCTGTGGAGATGCTCAGAGCAGCAGTGAGGAATGTGTTGAGGGAGGTGGATAAGGAGCCCTGCAGGGCCTGGAGGTCTGGGTGCTCCAGGGAAGGGAAGACAGAGGTGGGGCTCAGACAGACTCAGATGGTCACACTGAGGGCCTGAACCACCTGTGCCTCCCACCCTGCTGTCAAAACCCAGGAGAGGCCTCCCAGCTTCCTACACTGGTAACGGGAGGCCAGGTCTTGGGGCAGGAGCTGGCCAGAACCCACAGCACATGGAGCCCCTCAGCAGAAAATGGCAAATCCCTGGAGACTCCCCGAGCCAGGAAAACACCAGGAGTGCAGCCCAGGCCCCCAGGCCGTGCTCACCACAGTGCCCATGTGAGGTGTAAGGGCACAAGCAAACATCACAGGCAATGAGCAGCTCTGGGAAGGTGGAGCGGATCCTCCTGATGGCCTGGATGGCAGGAGTGCCCTCGGCATCGGCAGCAGAGCCTCTCTCGTCCTGTGGGAACACAAACACCTCAGCACACACAGCCCACACTTCCCCCCGGCTCCTCCGTGGCAGCAGCTCTGCCCAGGAAACAGCTCCTGGACTGTGGGACCCTCCAAGGCAGGATGGTGTGACCACCACCGAGGGAAAAGGGTGATGGAGAAGCCCTTCTGGGCAGTGAGTGCAGGTCTTGGGGCCACCTGCATAGCTCTGGGGGCTTTTTTGGGTGTCACTGCAGTCTCCCATCCCCAGGTGCTCTGCTGAGTGGGCTGTAAGTTCAGCCCCACACTGCTCTCCCACACCCCTGTGGATGCCCCAAGCTCCCCTCACCACCAGGCACTGACCTTGTGGACCTTGCTGGGCACCCCGAAGATGAGCACACACTTCAGGCCGTCTTGGACAAGGGGCTGCAGCATCCCCTCGAGCTTGTTCACTCCATACCTGAGCAGGGCAAAGGGAAGGGAGCTGCCAGGCACCCACACCTGCTCCTGGGAAGAGCTGCCTGTGACTGGGATGCTGCCCTGTGAGCAATCCAGCATCACCAGGCAGCAGCTGGAGGTACAGGGGAGGTGTTGCCTGAACACTGGGAGGAACAATCTGGGCTCTTATCTGGGGCTGCAGGAGCATTATCTGCCCAGCATGGACACTGCTCTGAAAGGAGAAACGTGCCCTGCCCTTGGATTCCTTATCTTGGCCTCCCTGTTGCAGATCCAGCCCACCTCCCACCAACCCACCCCCCTGGGCCTCTCTGACCAGAGCCCTGCTAATGTGGCAGCAGATGGAGACAGGAGCTGCCAGTCCAGCAGGATCCAGTGCAGGACCACAGCCCACATCCTTGCACAGGTTTTGTGGCTGCTGCTGGAAACCCCATTTGCTTCCAACCCACACAATGTGTGAGTGCTCTGGGACAGCCTGAGACCCTGGTGCTGCCCTCCCAGTACTGCTCCTTCCCCAGCATTCCCAGCATGATTCTCTCCACTCCCTTAGTGGATGAATGTCCCTGCCCTGCCCGATCCCAGGGAATCCCCAGGGCAGGGACCAGAGGGTTGGTGATGGCATGAGCCATCACCCCTGGCTCATGCTCATCTCATGCCATAAATCCCAGCAGCGACAGCACATGGCTCAGTGGGGTTGGATTTGTACCTGGCTTGTCCAGGGAGGCTGGGGATGGGCTCCACAGCATCAGGGCTGTCCCTGTGGGAGGAGGAGGGGACGGAGATGTCAGGACTCGGGTGTGAGAAGGAAGCCCCTCTCCCAGGCTCGTGCACAGGGACTCTGAACCTACTGAAGAGCTCAGGGAGCTCCTGGGATGGACCCAGCCAGTCACCCTGCGCCGTGTCCATCCCTGACCCCAGAGCCAGGGCTCACTCACGTGACAAAGATGGGGTAGATGAGGTTGGAGGCGTCGAAGGTGGTGGCCGTGCCCTGCCAGGAGCGCAGCACTGGGTGGAAGTACCCGCTGTGGAGCACAGAGTCTGCCTGCATGGTGGGGCTGCTGGAGGCTGGGGGAGGCTCTGCAACAACAACAGAACCCGGCAGGGTCCTGGTAAACTGCTGAGGAGGGGGCTGAGATCCAGGCCACTGCAGGACTGTCCCTGTCCCGGGCCCCTGCAGCCCCTCCAGCTCCATCCCACCTCCCACGGGCACTGCCCTGTGCCTGGTGGGTGCTGCAGGACCCCCATCAGCAGTCACTGAACAGCCCTTCCCATAAACAGGGATGAGAGAGACTCCTCCCCACAAAACCCCCCAGTTCTGTGTAGGAAACCCCCCCAGTTCCAGCCACTGGCTCCTCCCACAGCAGAACCACCTTCACCCTCCAGAGGCTCCTCTGCCTGAGCACCCAGAGGGTCACTGTTCATTCATTTTACTCTTCCTTAGTGCTGAGTAACTCTGTGATAAAGCTTTTGTATGCAGAGGAGTAAAGAGCTGCTCTGTGCTGGAACTCAGTGATCTTTAATGTCCCTTCCAACCCAAACCATTCCATGAGGCACAACATATTTATGGCCACAGTGTGAGGGCACAGTTACAGAAGAGGAAAGGCACTGATGAGAAAGGGGCAGGATCATCCTGAGGACACCAGGGCTCTAAACCCCACAGTCACACAACTCCAGTGGCCACTTACTGCTGGGTAAAGAAAACTGGGGACTTGGGCAAAACTGATTTCCGAGGTAACAAAGAGCAGGTACTGAACACACATAAATCAATCACTGGCTCTGCTGTTGTTGAAAGTTCTTCTGCAGCAATATTTTCTTCTTCTCTAACAGATTAGTAATAATTCTGTGATCAGACCACCAAGATTTACATTTCCATGAGCATTAAATTCTCACACCACGTTGCTGGTGGGTGTGATGGAAGGGGCCGTGGGAAGGTGGCTCTCCTGGGACGAGGCATTTCTTTGGCTGCAGCACAGAAGGAGCAGCTGCACAGCCCTGGAAAGCACAACCCCAACAACAGACTGTTTGTGCAGAGCAGTTTCAAGGACTTGTGGCTGCTCACACAGGGCCACATCCCCCAAACCCCCTGTGCTGAGGAGCCGGGGTGCCCTGGGAGACAAAGCAGAGGCCCTACTGGAGAGTGTGGGATTTCTGGGAGGTGGGCAGGAGGAGAGCTCAGATGGGCTCTGAAAGGGCAAGTGGAGTCCTTTGACTACCCCTGGACAGGGCAGGTCTTCCCTAGGGAGACAGGGTGGCAGGAGGATGGGACTCATTTCAGGGGAGCAGCCCTGTGCTCTCCAGTCCCATTCCAGGAGGGATTCCCCAGGCAATGAACCTCACTGACCCCCTGCCTGTACCCAGCCTTCTGGAGAACAGGAACAGCTCAGGCACAGCTCAGAGCATCCCAGGACAGAGTCCATGGCACCCACAACACCAGTCAGCAATGGAGCTGTGCAGGAGATGGCTCATTTTCACTTTGGGAAAACCTTTAATCTGAGGTGTTCACCTATTTTACACACTCAAGACCCGTCAGATATTCTACTACTGAGCCAAACTCAGTCTGTGTCAGACCCTCCCAGTGCCCAGGGCACTTGGAACACGGGGGCACTGCATTGCCCAGGGCTGGAACCGAGCCTCTTGTACCCTGAGGAATCACTTCTGGGGATGGGGAAAGGCCCCTCTTGGTTACACGGATAAAAACACTGGATAAAAAAATCAGGTGGTGTTTGTGGGGGACGCAGAGCAGCTGACAGGCACGCTGGCAGCACCATGGCATCCCTTGGCAGGTCATTTTTAGCCCTTGGAAAGCTGCCACTCCAGTCCTCACTCCAGGGAAAGGGACAGCCCTCGGGTGAATGCTCCCTACGGTGCCTGGCTCCAGGGAGCCGCGGCAAACAAAGGGCTCAGTGAACAAAACCCACCTCGAGAATCCAAAAAATGCTTTAAACAGTTAATCCCAGCGGAGCAAGGGCAGGGGGGCCGGGTGGGACCAGAGGCACCTGACTGTATGGGACAGATAGAGGCCACAGCTCCAGAAACTGCCCTCTCCGGGCAAGGAGGGGATGGGCACGGGGTGGGATGGCAGGGAGGAGATAAGAGCCGGGACGGGTGGGCCCTGGTGGGGCTGAGTCTGAGCCGGGTCCTGCTCACCAGCCCCACGAGCAGGAGAAGCTGCTGCCTGTGCAGGGCACCGGGGTGGCACAGCCGGGACCGACCCACCCCACGGGCAGGGACACAGGACACAGGGACACAGGGACACAGGGGCACAGGGGCACAGGGACACAGGGACACAGGGACACAGGGACACAGGGCACAGGACATAGGGACACAGGACACAGGGACACAGGGCACAGGGACACAGGACATAGGGACACAGGGACACAGGGCACGGGCTGCAGGAGTGGGCATTGCACCACACGCTCACCCCGGGCTGGGGCTGCTCCCCCGACATCCCTCAGGGCTCCCGGCACAGCACGCCTGCCCTTCTCCCACATTCGCGGCCCAAATCTGTCTTTCTAAAGCTGTTTGCTCCGTGCACACGGGAGCAGCTCCAGGAGGGGGTTAAGGACAGCCCTGCAACTCCAGCAGGAGGTTAAGCACAGTCCTGCAGCTCCAGGAACTGAAGGACAGCCCTGCAGTTCTCTCCCCGCGTTCACCTTTGCCCCTGCACACCGGGACCAGCCCAAACCCGCGGCACCCCGACCCACCCCTGTGCCCAGCCCGGGCTGGTGGCGGTGCCTCGCTGCCCTC